TGTAAGGGTAAGAATCAGAGACTTAAATCTTGAATCTGACAATGTCGCCGAGGTTCGGGGTGTGTGATAGACTTACCTCCACGTGATACACCCTAGGCAACGTATACTCATACGGCAAAAATGTCTATTAACCGGCAGTTGACTCCTGACTTCAAACCCCACTGTATGTTGTATTCGACAACTTCTACAGTACCCATCTTCTCTTTTCTTTTTAACTTTATGCCTATCTGTCTCTTTTACATCTGTGAATCATTATTCTGTTCCCCCTCTCGATTTTTTTGTCATTTTACTGTTCCTTCTCCTCTCTTTGAAGCCCGAAGTCAGCTAAAGGGCTGATGATAACTATCAAAACGCTTTCCATTTATAAAATAACGAAAGCAATAGTGGTGTCGACTTAAAAGACCTTGATTGTTTTAATTGGTTGTTTGAAGGAACAAATTGCCAATTTTCTATCTAACGGGACGATGAAGGCTAATTTTCCTTTTATAGCTCTTGAGTGAATCCTCGGTTCCTGTTCGTACTAAGGCGCTTCGCTGTCTCTCAGCAGTGGTAGAAGCTGATCCGGGAGTGTTGGCTCGATCGGATATTGAAATGGCTGTACGATCGCGTCTTATGGATATTTCCACGTCTGTGCGAGAAGCTGCAGTCGATCTCTTAGGACGCTTTCTCATCTGTCGTCCTGAACTCGCCATCCAGTATTATCCAATGCTCTCCGACAGGATTAGAGATAAGGGTGTTTCCGTACGAAAACGGGTCATTCGTATTCTTCGTGATATTTGCCTTGAACAACCCGATTTCCCACGTATTCCAGAGATTTATGTATTAATCATTCGACGTGTCAACGATGAAGAGAGCGTCAAAGTGAGTTATGCTTACTTATTAGTTGTTAGTAGGTAGATCTTTGGGCTTTATATTTATCAATCCTTTCTCTAACAGAAACTTGTCAGCGAAGTCTTTCAAACTCTCTGGTTCGCCCCTGTTCGGGAGAAAGAATCGGCTAAACTGATCAATAAGGTGATGAATATCACTGATGTTGTGGTTAATGCCTCCAAGGATACTGGAATTGAATGGCTAGAGCAATTCCTTGAAGGCGTAAGCTTTTGATGGATATACACATATATGCTGCGCATTATAATTCAGAATGTTTTATTATAATTTGCACTTTTAGCTTCTGGCAAAAGAAGAAGGCGAGAAGGTTCGCCCTGCTGAAAAGGCCTGTGTACAGATTGTTGAATGTTTAGTGCAGAATATAATGCGACTAGATGAGATCAAGGGCATGTCTAAACGTCTTGTGGCTTGTCTGGCCACTTTGCACTTATTTACTAAAATACGACCCAACTTAACTGTCAAACATGCAATGCTCCTTCATCCATATCTCTCTGCTCGAGTCACGCCTTGTCCTGGGCCCTCCCAACAAGCAGTTCAATTGGATGCCCATATCCTCCACTATGTCGCTCGAATTCTCGAAGTCACTATCCCTCTAATGGAGCATCCTTCCGAGTCTTTCCTTGGTCAGCTTGAATCGGATCTTATTCGAGTTGCTCTGAGAGCTGGAAAGATGGTTGTGGAGTCATGCATGGCTTGTCTAGGGGCAGTTGTCAATCAGGTTTCAAAAAATTATGAACTTTTGAAGCAGTGTTTCTGGGGTTTCCACACTGCTCTGGAAACGTATCAACGTGATTGCATTGCCTCTTTGCAAAGTGGTTCTGAACCCAAGTTAGCACCCACTCTTCGACCATCTATCCTTCGAGCACTATTCACGATGGGTCTGCTTTGCAAATACTTTGATATTAAAGAATTCACTCATGACGGCAATCCAAAAATCCTCGAGGAAATATTTGATATCCTACTTTTTTTCTCGGAGCACATGACTTCGGACATGGAGGTGCGTAAAAATGCTATCTCTGGACTGGGATTTATTTGCACTCGACACAAGGAATTCATTAATGGCAAGAAGCTTTCCAAATTCTATCACGAGATTCTCACCGCCAATGTTGATTGTACTATTACAAAGTCACCCCAATTGGAACTGAAGAACCTCGTACTGGAAAATCTTTTCAACTTCTTAACAGAAGAAGAGCGAAGAATGCTTGAACAAGACGCTCAATGTAAGTGTAATTGGCAAGGGATGCTATTGTCTAACTATGCAAGAAAGTGTGTGCACCAGAGTATAAACGCTCGATCCATTAAGCCATGGGTTTTCTCAAATTCATTACTTATCATTTTTAGGGGTAATAATCTGACACGTTTTCTTCATAATTGACCAATCACATCAACTACTTCCTTTTAGCCTTTATTAATACGTCGAGCTTAAGAGGGGCTCCGTTGTAAATGGGGTTCTGAGATTTCCTATAACAATTTGAGAAATAGTTGGTCAAGCCATTTACTAGTTCTTGACTTCTTGATGGCGCAGAGCTTTAAACGTAATCATCAAGGGATAGGCCAAATGCAATCTAATGCTATCTTGAATCATTTTCAGGGAAAGCGACGCACAAAAATGAGTCACTCAAATATATGGGTGATGTCGCCTCCGGAACAGGTAGTTCAGTGGCCCAAACCTACTTGAAAGAGGTCCTTGAAAATTTCTTCTCTTCGCAATCCGTTCGGTTGGCTGCCCTCTCTGTGGTGTCAACTATTCTGCGACAGGGACTTACCCACCCAGTTCAAGCTGTGCCCTACCTCATTGCTATGCAAACTGATTGTGATCCTACCTCACGAGTCAAAGCCGAAGCTCAGTTACAGGAGATCGAAAATAAATTCCCTGGATTTACCAACGTAATTACTTTATTCTTTTTCTCTAATTTATGATCACATACTGAGCCACTTATTTCGAATACTGTAGTTCTTTTAAGTTGTCAGAAGTATTCTGAAAGAGAGCGCACTTTTTCACCTGTTGTTTGAGTAGATAACCAAGAGGTGTCAGGCCAAATTGAGTATTTGAGTGAATATGAGCGGAAATGTGTGTTCTATTTTCGAGAATCACTGGTACTCTATATGCCACATTTTCAATTACTTAAATAGAGACCGGCTACTCCTCCATTTAATTATCTAACGGGAGTAAAGTTTGTCTAAATTTTTCTCTCATGTATTTTCTAATTTAAGGTCTGCTATCTCCTTTATTCTCCTCTTATAGTGTCTGCTTAAGATTCCAAATTTTTTAATTCCTCTCCACAAACGGTGAAGGAACGAAATGGTACAACTTGTTGTCTATAAATTAATGAATTTGAGCATAAAATGACTATATCATACAGATCTTCATATATTTTGATGATTAGATAAGAAAAGTAGTAATCATTCATGCTTGAGATGGAGTTTTTAGGTTCCTTCAAATTTATTCTAGTAATCTCAAAGTATTATTGCGTACAGTCAGAAATGTTGCTCTTTGATGCAGTCTCGATCTGTGAGGCGCCTATTTACATTGTTGATTGGTTATCTTAGTTATGATATCTAAAGTATTGATTTATAAAATTTTAGATGCGAGCAATTGAAGGAGTGTGTTTCTCCTACCGGCTTCAACGTGTTTTGCACATGGCGAAGAAGGCAAGTGGAGGCGATAGAAGGGAATCCGTTGGAGATGGTGCCTCTACTGAGGCGGCTTGTAACAACTCTACGTCCTCTAGCAGACAGACTCGTCGAAATACCGATAATGGAACTACTGTTACTGCAAGTGAAGAAGGAGCCAATCCCTTCGCAAATGCTATTCGGGGTGCAAAAGAGGTGGATTCAGATGTTCCCAACGCCCTCAACTCCCAACTATATTCAATGCTTCGGGCCAACATCACCTCTCGACGAGCCTTCCTCAAAGGCATGATCAATCTCTTTGACGAGATGCAGGTAAGACTCCTCTGTACAAGCGATGGAGAATGCTTTCACTGCATACTCTTCATTGATTTCCAATTGTTTGCTTAGTCAGCTTACTTAGATTGCCTCCATGGCAGTTGATTATGATTATTTATAAAAGTTCCATTTCTCCATTGTGATCTGCGAGATATTAAAAATATGTAGAAATTGAGAAGCCACTTATAAAATGCAGAACAGGGGATCAGAGTGGTTTAACCTCTTCTGAACTCGTGATTCTTCGTGTTGCTATAGAATAGCTTGCTTAAAGCTCACTTTTCTAATGCTTTTTAAGCTTTCCAATCAGTTCTTTCCCTTTCCCATAAATTTTTGACAACTACTACTTTCGAGAGATTTCGAAAATATTTTTATTGTATATCGAAGCAAACAGACATTACCGTATTCGTTGTTGTTAAATTGTGCAAAAAGTGTTATTAGCTGAGCGTTAGGAGGATTAGAGGCTATCAGTCGCTGACATAGGACAAGTAAATTTGCCTCGATGTTACCCTCAGTTTCTATAAATTTACTGAATTAGGAATGGGAACAGAATATCTGTATTGAAAGTAAACTGAGAAAACAGTGGGAATGACGTAAGGTAACCACAAATTTAATTTTTCCACATGCATCGTTTCCCCTTTATTAGCCTATAACTTGAAGTTTTATAAAGCCTCAGTGTTTATAATAATCTGTGATTTTAATAACTTGCTTGTTTTGCTTTGAAAACAGGACATCTCGCTTGGAAGGTTGGTCTATGTTGCTGATAATCTTGCATTCTTCCCCTACCAATGCCAAGCCGAGCCACTGTTTGTGATCCATCACATTGATCTTCTTGTAAGTGTTAACGGCTCCACACGACTTCAGGCTGTCCGTGAGGCCTTTTTTCCTGAACTCAAGGAACTACTAGCCGCTCAGGCCGCTCTCTCCAACAATGGACAGCTCACTACTACCGCGAACACTTGGTCATCCGCGGGATTTGCTGTAAATGACATTATGTATCATCCCGATGTTCAATCAGCCCAGCATGCGTCTGAAATCCAGGAAGCTCTCATGCGCTTGGACTTAGAGGAAGAGAAGGAAGATGTTCTGATCGGCCGAGTGACTTCTGCTAGTGCAGATCAACTGAGTCAAATTCGCGAGTCTATAAGAGCCAGTCGTGCGTGTCTCTTGCTGCTCAATTTGAAACAATACCTCAAGGAGGTTTATGGAATAACTGATAGCAAGGTTCAGAAATTTTCCCCTTCTGATGCCAACAAAATGTGGGATAAGCCATTGACTCGAAAGAGCGGAGTCAGGTTCACTCCTGACCTCTGTCTACGATCAGCGATCGAGGAACTTGAGAGTGAAGAAAATCCCGACTCTTATAAAAACGGTCCGTTATGCTTTTTCTCTGTTTATACTTCATTAGAGGTTTTCTAATGCTTACTTTTCTCTTTTTCCTTACAGCTCTGACTATGTCGGAGGAGATGGCGAGGGATTTAGTACAAGAGTTTTTTGAATTCAGGAAACTGATTCTATCAATTGATCCACCAGATGACGAAGGCTTAGATGGCGCTGTTGCAAACGTGGACGACGCTGCTTGTCAAGCTAATCCAGGTGAGGGTAAGCACTCTTCTTTCATAAGGTCAACGTTTTATTGTTTTAAGAAACAAAAATCATACAGTTAATTAGCCGTTAATCAGAAGCTTCCTCTCACGATACTGAATACTACTGTCAGCTTCAGTCATTTGATAACTGCTTTCATGCTTCCAACATTTCAAGGTACTTTAGTCCATTCAAACAAGTCATTTGCTCCTGGGTCTTGATACATTTTTTTTCAAATTTTGAACTAAATGGTGACGCTGAGCTAACTTACAGTAGGAAATATTTAAGAAATATATATAAAAATCGATCGCTAGAGATCGTTGATTTCATCATTTTTCTTATGTTCATATATACAGATGTTCCTTTACGACTGGCGCCTGATCGATCCCTGGTTCCCCAATCGCATGCCCCCCACTCCTCGGACGAGGGAGACGATTCGGCTGACTCTGATGCAGCGGGTGCTTCTCGACTTCTTTTGGCTCAATCGGCTCCCCAAAAGCGTCGAGGCGGTCGCAACCTTCACACGGCCGGTCGAGGCTCTAAAGCTGCACCTCCTTCCACCTCTAAGCGGAAATCCTCGTCACGGCAACCTAGGTCACGTGTAAGTACTGTAGCCCCCTTCCCTTTACCAATATCCTTATCTGATTCGGCTACTAGCATTTCGATGATAATATATAAAAACTAAGAATACTCTTGAGAGGTCACTGTAGTATATTTTGCCAAGTTACAAAACTTTGGATATAGGAACCAGACACTGAGAACCTAGGTACCACTCGATGCAACCCAAAAGTTCTATTATAATAGGCAAGTAAGCAGCAATTTTTTCTTGTTTGAATTGACTTTGTATTAGTGCAGTTAAGTAGAGTCGAGAATGCTCTTTGCGAGGTTGTAAACCCTCCTTCTTGAAGAAGCTCATGTCGTATATATTTTTTTAAGATATTTAATTCTCGATATTTAAAAAAGTTTGTTCTACTCATAAAGTCAAACTTAACCACTTATTCCTTGGAAAACCCATACGGTAATTTTTTCTCTCCATTGTCAATGTTTCGTTGTCCTTTTTAGTCCGCCTTTATCCTGAGCAGTGAATCAGAGTCAGAAGTTGAATCCCTATCGGAAGAGGAGGAATCAATTTAGTACTCGTTCGCTAATCTGGCTCCTACTCACTTTTCCCCTCGGCAGCGTCTACCTAATTTAAAAGACTTGTGTGTGCGTCTTTTACTCTTTACAGTAGTAGTATTAGTATTATTAAGTAAGCTGGCTCCTGTATATATAATTTCATTCGACGATCGTGTCTCAAAACTGAACAGTCTCCCTCCTGCTTTTCACTTGTGTAATTTTTGCTGTACCATATGCCTAAATGCGCACGTCTCATGCAAGTCGGACGTCCACAGTCCCACTACATGTACGTGTATTTTCTGTCTTACTCCCCCTTGTGTATGTATGAGCTGTCCCTGTGTAAAGATATTTATTGTATTCCACTTAATTTGGCCAGACGGGGAATGTGATATAATTTCGTGTCCATTTCTGCGTTTGTTTCTTCATCCCCCCCCCCCCTCTATCTCTATCTCTATCTACAAAATGCCCTTTTCTCTAAACCTATCACGATGCTGCTTTGTGCTTTGAATTCTTATTGAAATAAACGTATTTAATCAGGTGTTATCTCTGTGATATAGGGGTGGCTAGTCATCATGGGAAGATTGAAATTTCGAAGCACTTACTTCTGCTTCATATTAATGGTTAGATTCGATCAATGTGAAGTAATATTATAGTAATTAGTTCCGAATATAGTCCAGTTTGCTCCCGTGATC